AATAGGTTTATATATATATATATATATATATATATATATATATATATACACATATATATATACACACTTACATACGCATGTGCGTACTATTATCTACCAATATTTTTCTCTGCATATTCCCGATATCTTTTAACGGGAACATTTGAAATTGGACTAAAAATTATAATTGAATTTGTTTCAATTTTCCCGCTAAAAAGTAAAGATCGAAACGGCCGTGATGTGTCGCAAGAGGCGGCCGAATGGTTAGATGGGAAGGGTGTTCGTGCATGATCGGAACATTTCGATATCTTTCGGATACTGCCGTTTAGTTTCGGAGCAGGCGTCGGCAACTTCGGGAGTGGGGGTCGTCAGTGGGTAGCTGTCGGCGAGAGGTGGCGGTGGTTTTGTAAGGTGAAGAAAAGAGGGGTTAAGTGAGCCGTGCCGGGCCGTAGAATCGAGCTAGCGGTGGCGCGGCCCGTGCTCGTGCTATAGGGCCTCTGCCAGGCAATAGTGCAATCGTTTACAAGATGGCAGACGGTCCGTCCACGGAAGACGCGGCCACCGACCTAGGGGACAGTGATTCTCGTTTAACGAGGGAGAGACACAAACGTCAGGACGCTTCGTCTTCGATGACGTCCTTGAGCACGGGTCAGGATATCGCGAGACGCATCCACGAAGACGCTTCGATACTCGAGAATCATCCTCATCATTGGCAACAACATCAATATCGTCCTCTCCGTCGTAATTGTCATACCAATCCTCATCTTTCTCGTCGGCATTCTAGTAACGCTAATAACAGTAACAACAACAACAACAACAACAACAACAATAACAATAACAACAACGACAACAATAACAACGGTAATATCAACCATAATAATCATCATCATCACTATCATCGTCGCCACGAGCACGAGGATGAAAATTTTGATGGCAGCGAGCGCATTAGTAAGAATGAAAATGGTAGTAGTGGTTGTGTTAACACAATGTGTGTTATTCCGTTTACGTCACCGACCAGTGAAGATTACGAGGAAGAAGAAGAAGAAGAAGAAGAAGAAGACGATGACGACGACGACGACGACGACGATGACGATGACGACGAGGATGACGATGAAGAGGATGAGGAGGAAGAGGAGGTAGAAAATGGAGTGAAGAAGGGTATATCGAAAAAGTGTCGCAGCGGTGCTCGAATCGATGTCATAAAGACAGGAAAAAATGAAGAGAGCGATAGCGATAATGGTAATAGTAACGGTAACGGTAGTAGTAATAATAATAGTGGTAACAGTGGTGATGAGGGTGGCGCGGTGACCGGTCACGCGACGCGCGGTGACAATGCCGGGTGCTTGGTCGGCGACGGTCGACGGTCGAGATGTGCGGTCGTCGGTGCTTTTCTCAATTCGAATGCTCCAAAGGAGAATGCGAGCAAAATGAACGAGTGCCGTGTAAATCCCGACAACGACGATGAGGACGAGGACGGGGACGAGGACGAGCGCGCGTTAGAAAAAGCGAGCCGTCTCGGATGCGATAAGAGTAGCGAGCCCGATAGAGATGACGAGGACGCCGCACGAAAAACGACGGACGGCATTGCTAGTGATGGTAGTAGTGATGGTGGTAGTAGTGGTAGTGGTGGTGGCGGTGGTGGTGGTGGTGGTGGTGGTGGTGGTGGTGGTGGTGATGGTGGTGGTGGTGGTGCTGCTGCTGCTGCCGCTGCTGCTGTTCTGCTTCTGGCGGTGGTGCTGCTGGTGCCGCTGGTGTTACTGCAAATGGCCTCGTTGCCGGCAGGCATCAGGGTAGCCCTTTCAAGGGACAGGTTAGGACGGCCGAGGACACCCTCGTCGGCCCTTGCGGGAAGAAGCGGTGCGCCGATCGATACGATAGCTCCGAGAGTTCTGACAGGTGAGTGAGCGAGAGAGTTTCTCTGGTCTTCGACGGACGCCTCGAGGAACGAGGCACGAGGCGGTAGGAAAAAATGAACGAACGAGAGAAACTAGACGACGAGAACTAAGTATGAGAAAACCGTGTATATATTTGCCTTCGTTTCATATTCCCCGATGCCCGATTTCTTTCCTCGATTTGAAATATTTTGCGTTTTTACCTATATAATATTTACGATCGTGAATCGAGAGCATTTGGTCAGTCGTGTATGTTATGTTTACGTTTCTTCAGACTAGTTTTTTCCTCGGCGAGTTCCGCATTGTCGGGAGGAGCCACTTATATTCCACGAAAGAACGCGAAGGTGTACAAAGTGTACAAATAAACATTACACGAATTACACGACGAATCTCAATGTTTTCGATCGAATAATCTGGACGTTAAAGAAATATACTTCTCGATCGGTGAATAAGTCTCGGTCCAATGTTCGGGGATCGCAATTAGCGCGAAGGCGCGTTCGACAGCAGGCCAGAGGTCGTTGTACCGCGGTTACGAGACCGACAACCGTGGCTGCGTTCGATCTGTGTGCGCGGCGTGTTTATAGGTTCGTAGATGCTGCCAACTCGCCCTCTTGTTCTTCCTTTCTCTCTCTCTCTC